CCTCATTGTCCAAATTTTTATTACTCTAATTTTATTACTTTTTTTTTATAACTATTTTATTATTAATAAACTTCTAAGATTTTAAAAAACAAGCAATTGGTGTTTTCCACATGCCCCAAACTTTGTCCTGTGCCTTGGCTGGCCACCAAGGAGCAGCATGGACTACCCACCCCTGCAAAATGCAGAGGCAGCAGAAAGTGCAGGCCCAGGAATGGGTCTTGAGTGCTCTTGTGCTCTGAGCAGGTGGAGCTCGTAACCCTCTTGGGGCACCAGGTGAGCAGGAGCTCAGAGCTGTCCTGCTGGAAAGGTAATTGTGCAGGAGGAGGAATCAGCTCTTTGATGAGGCAGTGGCTGTGCTGGGGCATTTGCAGAGGTTTGGTTCACTCACTGAGAGTGAGCTCACAGGAGAAAAACTCCTTTAGTCCTGCCCTCCAACTGTCCTACAGTCCTAAAGTCCTAAGGACAGTCAGTCCATGGACCCCTACCAGCTTCACATCTCTGCTGAGCTCTCCTTCCCTGTGTCCTTGCTCCCCTGGGACAGGTCAGCCACTGTCCCCTCCTGCCCTGGCCTGGGGCTTTTCTTGTTCTCAGACTCCTCCTTCCTGGTGCAGTGGGGCAGGGAGGCTCTCCCAGAACAGCCTGTGGGGTGTGTTCTGCCCTGGGATGCTGAACAGCTCTCAGAAAATTGGCCTGCTGGCACCTCCATGGGGAGATGTGCCCCAGCCTCCACTCTGCTTGCTCAGCTCTGCAGTCCTTAAGAGCTTCACTCATCTGCTTGGAGAACTGAGCCCTCAGCAGCCTTCCTCATCCACTTGGAGAATGGAGCCCCTAAGTGCCTTCCTCATCCACTTGGAGAATGAGTAAACAACCTCCTGATCCTGCCTGGCCTTAGGGCATTTAATGCTGCAGATGAATCCTTCTGCTCACCACTGTCCTTTTCTGGCCTGGCACCAGCTCCTCCCAGTCCTCAGTGAGTGTGTTGCTCAATTTGCTTTATTTTGGTGGATTATTATCCCATAGCTGGAAGCAAGCATCTCTGGGGCTGGTCTGAATCCCTTGGAAAATAGAAACCAACTGCCAGCTCAAAAACAGCTCTGAAGTTAGAGATGTTGCTGAGAAAAGTCTCTTAAGTCAAACCTTCCCAACTAGGTACTGCAGGAGGCTGCTTGAGTCTGTGTCATACTTTTGTATTTTGATTGTTGAATAAGGAAATAAAATTTCTGTGTTTTCTGCTGCCTGAGCTGGACAGGGCTGGCTCTACAGCAGCACCAGCCAGCTGCACTTTGCACTTTGGCTTTCTCCTCTCTGGTGAAGCTGACGGGCAATAGCTGTGACTCAGGCTGGCTGATGAAATGTAAATGGTGTCTGAAAAACCACAGGCTCAACCATTATTACTGATAACCATATGTGGTAGAAAATGAGGTCATCTTCACACGGGTGTGAATGGCCTGTGACTGTTTCCCAACATGATTTGTGTAAGGAGAAGCGGCCTCCATCCCATTCTGCTCTGCGTGGCTCCTTCTCTGCTGGGAACAGCGAGGCCAGCTGCTCCCCAGGGGTGGCCATGGCTCTCACAGCAGCTCTGTCATCCTTAAGGTGAGCCAGGAGAGATGGGAAAGGAGAAGGAGAATGAGAACACCGTGGCCACCTCTGGAGCCTGTGCAGCAGCATGGCTTAGACAAAACCACAGCAGTGGGAGAGGCTGCCTGGACACCCAGGGGTCAGTGATGACCCAGCTGATGGCTGCGTCCTGTGAAATGGCCTTGTGGAAAGAGAGGTGTGAGAAAGTGCTACTCACTTCCAGAAATTTAGAAAGGTTTATTAAGCCTTATCAAAAATACAACAGAAGACTGAATAGAGAAAATGTTACAGTGTTGGGAGCAGAGGATTTTCCCACCATGTGCTCAATCACACAATGGAGGTTTTGCCTTTTAACCCTTTTGCCCCTCCCAAAGTTCTGTCCATCTCCTTCTCCTCTGTCCAGTGGTGGAGTTTTGCTTCCTTAAACCCTGATTGGAGGTCAGATGTCACCATAGTGACAAGCCAACCCTCCCAAATGTCCCATAGTGACAAGCCAACCCTCCCAAATGTCCCAACCCTAGATGTCCCCTGGTAATGCGGGAGGGTAAAACATAACTATAAATCTATAAATTTTTTCTTACCATATATACATGATATTTGTCAATATACATGATAATTGTGAGAGTCAATCCTCGCACTACCCATCCATCACAGAGGACACACCACGAGGTCTCCTTTCTGTGACTGTAAGCATGGGAAAAAGAATGTGCTGCCCCTCTGTAGTCTCCAGAAACTGCCTGGTCCAGCCTTGCACTTCCACATGCCCGGCTTCAAGGGGTGGCCTAAGCCCTGGGTGCACTGGCCTGGCTGAACAGAGCTGTCAGGTGGGATTCTAGCACCATCTGTGAGCTCCTACAAGGCCTCTACAACCCCAGCAACAAAAATTGATGTTTCTGATATCACAGAGACTTTTAACCTGGTGGAAGAAAGGGGTCTCAAATAAAAGCTGAGGGCGTGGGAACTTTCTGATGAGGGCAGTCAGTCCATCAAGTAATCAGTGGCAGGAGTTGAATTGTTTCAACCTTTATTTCAAGACAAGTGCAGGTATATGTATAGATGCAGATCAGTCCAGTTCAGCCTGGAAGTGCAGTGGGATCAGTGAGTGAAATGTCCTCTCCTACTCTAAACAAGAAGAAAGGGTGCAGCCTTCCAAAGAACAAATCCATTTGTGCCCTCTTCAGAGAAAGGCTTTATCTTTCTTGCTGTCCTGTGCAGCCCTGCACACTGGGCATGGCCTGCCCAGTGTTAGCACACGCTGGGGAGCCCCAGCCCTGCACACCCTCATGGAGAGCTGAAACAGAAGCTGAACTGTAAAAAAAAGGAAGTATGTGAAAATGTCATACAGTTTCCATACCATTGGAAATGTCTGCTCAAACACTGAATGTATCATTCACCAGCCACTTCCAACCTCCTTCTCCCACAGCCCCCGCCTCCAAGGGACACTACAAGCCCAAATACTACAAAGGAAAAATGTATTGTTTTTTAGGAAGAGAAACACATTCGCTTCTGCTGGGGAGTGACAATCCCCAGCCTCGGGGCAGGGTGCTGCTGCCTTCAGTCCACTGGTGGTGAGCATGGCCAGAGTTAAAAGCCCAAAATATCCCTTAATGATGAGCATCCTGTAGGGGCAAGTCAGCCACAGCTCCTCAGCTGAGGAGAGAAAAGCTTCAGCCAGTTTCCCCTGAGGCTCCAGCCTGGCCAGGTAGGGAAGCTCCTTAGCCTAAAGCCCAGGAGAACTCTCCAAGGCCTGGAGGATGTCCTTAGTTGCCTGCGGCACCTGAGCCTGCTGGAGTGCTCAGCCAGGAGTGCATCAGTCCAGGTCTGGGTGTCTGCAAAGCAGGAACAGCCCAGAGCATTGGAAGCATCTTCAAAGAGGAGTTTGGTGCTGACAATCTGCTCTGAACCCTTCCCAGTGTTCCTAAGCAATCTGATGTAACATTCTTATGCCCATCACTTAAATACATAAATACTTCTAGCACAAGACTTTGGAGCGTGCAGCCAGCAGTGACATGCTGAAATGTCGATGAGTTCCTTGGGAGACACAAAGTCAAAAACTGACAGGTAGTTAAAATCTGCCTTGCTGCAAGCAAAAACACCCCAGCTGCTGGGGTCAGGGGCTGCCTGCAGCATGGGCAGGACCTGTCTCCAGCAGCTGCAGTCGGAGCAGGCAGGAGAGTCACTGAGACAGGTCTGACTGCAGCAGCAGCAGGCAGCTGTGCCTGGAAGCTCTGGTCACCCCCGTGGGACAAAGCCAAGGGCAGGCATGAGAACCATCCGAGTCCTCCCTGAGCAGAGGCTGCACAGACCTGCAGCCTCCCCTTGGTCCATTAGAGAGCTCACCACAAGTTTGCCCAACTTTTTATGTGCCTGGATGACTTTTGGGTCAAGCCGGTGTGTGTGTGCTTGAAGGAGGTTTTCCTCTGAGGCCCTGAATGTCCCAGCAGATGGGTGCAGGCATCAGTGATCTGCAGACAGCTGGAACAGCCAGTGGGGCTCCACTCTCAAAGGCTCTCCCCAGAACTCCAGTCAGTGCTCCTGCTGCCCAGTGCAGTCCTGTCAGCTCATTTCCAAGCAGCACCTTCTCTCACGGCCCTTCTCTCTCAGACAGCCTTTATCTGGCTCCCTCCAAAGGCATTTCAGGCTGCCTCTTCCCTGTTTTCCATCTTGCTGGGCAGATTTGTGCTCCTCTTGCTCCAAGTGGCTTCAAGACACTTGAGGTATCTTCCTGAGTCACCAGACTTTTATTTGAGAAAAAACACAACACATTTCTACTATATACAGATACTGTCAAGTAAATAGGGAAACCCGGGGTTTCTCTGAATATGAGCTAAGCTTGGGTGACTTTCTTTGGCTTTCATTTCTGTTCTTCTCAAGAGCTTCACGCATCCCTTTCCCCAGGGTTGGAAAGATCCATCCTGGGTAGCAAATCAGCTGCAGAGAGCTCCAAAGAGGCGAATCCTGCATGCACTACATAAAACCTGTGGTTCATCTGCACTCCCAGCCAGGCCCTCCACAGCCCCACGAGGGCTTCTAGAGCAGTCTGCCTGGACAAGTACAAAGCCTACAGCTCGGTGGGGAAGGCTGTGCTTTCCGTGCTGCTCTTCGTACTCCAGCTCCTGCAGCTAGGACTTGTTCTCACCTACTAACACCAGGCTGAAGGTCAGGTCCGAGATGTTGGCGTGGGAGCTGGTCCACAGCGTGATGCTGTCCTGCTCGAACAGGTAGAGCACTGTGCTGAGGTTCACCCTGCTCTCACTGCCCTGCACAGTCTCCTCCCACGGGACACTTCTGGTCGTCTTCTGTGTGACCTGCAGGGTCAGCTTCAGCTCGGCCCCGTCCCTGGGCTGGTAGATGAAGCTCCTCAGGGACACGAGGTACAGGCCGTCGCAGGGCACCACGACGGAGCCGTTCCTGACCTGGATGGGCCCGAACTCCGCGGTCAGGTTCACGGCTGCTCCTTCCGTGCTTTCACCTGCAATGCAAGGGAGCAAAGATGATCCCATGCTGACAAATGTCTTCTAGGGAACGGCTTGGCTTGCACCACCTGACCGCAGGGAAGATTGAAAAATATAAAAAAAGGGGAAAGTAAACCAGAGAACAGGGCAGACCAATGTGAGAAATAGATTTGTAGAGAATTCTCAAAGCCTAACAAGCGACTCACATAGTATACATCTGTATACAAACTCTGAAATAAAAAATACTTAGAAATACCGTAGAATAAGACAAACGTTGAGAAATAGAACTAGAAACAAGTTTCAAAAGATAGCCTTACAAATATGACTAAATACTTAAGAGAAATAAAACTATGAAAAATACATTTTAGTAAAACCCACAGAGTAATTTTAGATTATTAACTTTAAAACATTTACAACATAGTGTAACAAAAACTAATAAACCAAAAAACACTTATAATATGTTGTAATTAAGAAATAATTAACTTTTAATTATAATGTAAATTATAACATCTGTATTATCTTACCCTTCATATTAGACTAAAAATAAAATAAAAGTTTTTAAAACATTTCTCAGTTACCCCATCTCTAAAAAAAGGAAAAAAGGAAAAAAAGAAAAAAAAAGCTTAATCCAAGAGGCCAGAGCTAGAATATTATCTACCCTAGCCAGCCATCATCTCCCATGGAAATTTACAGATTACCACTCTTGAGTACACCGTGCCTTTTGGCGCATGGTTTATAGGGATTGCTCCTCCCGATTTTTATTTATGCACTATTTACTTACTCTGTATCTTAAAATACAGAAAAATACAGCATGTAAAGCATCACTATGAGTTTAGAAAGAAAAGGTTCACAAAAAGAACAGGAAAATTAAGACAGTAAATAAGATGAAGAAAATGCATCCAGAGCCGGAAGACAGAAAGTGCTTTCTGTGGAGATACTGGTAACATAATCCCTTGTCTTAGGGTTTGGTTGTGTTTTATGGTTTGTTTTTTTTTTTCCAGAAGACATGATGAAAGAGCAGCAAAGAGACAGAAGCAGAAGGAATTAATTAATACAGAGCAGAAAAAGGAGAAATTAAACTGGAACTTGGCAAGATATTCTGGTGGAATGAAGAGTAACAGTTCCCAGGCTGTGCTGGCCATGTTTCTGTGCTGTGCCCCTGGGTTCTCAGCACACCAGCTGAACCCCCGGGGCCAGGGCAGCCAGAAGGGCTCCAGGCAGGGAGCACAGCCCCTCTGGGCTGGGGCCAAATTTCTCAAGCTTTTCCTCTGAAGAAGATGGGCTTCTATTAGGTTGGACTCCCTGCTGCCTCACACTTCTAACTGAAAGTAAAACTGTCAATAATATTTCAGTATTACTTTAATCGTTTTATTGATTGGTTTTATCTCTGAGGTGTGACGTCAGACAAACCTCCAGTGTTGCTGCCATGCAGAGCAGCACATCTGATATGGTGTGTGCTCTCACCCACTCCTCCTGAGGAAATCATTTACATTTTTCATAAATCAGGAAACCATTGACTTGTTTCAGAAAAAGCCAAGAGCGTGCCGTGTGCATTTAGTAAATTGTCAAAAAGCACCTTTCTTGTTCATTCACAGAGTGAAAGAGTGTTTTAAGGAGATAGGTGAGGGCTGCAGGGATCCATGCAGATTTTCAGGTTATTTGTTCTGCTCTGGGAAAACCCAATTGTTTCGTTTTGTCCCCTTGCAGCACTGGGGCAGGCTTGGCCCCTCTCCCCTGACAGATCTCCTGGCACCTGAAGAAGAAGAAGCCATCACTGTGGCACCGAGCCCGTAAGAGCCATTTGGGTATTTTAGGGGCCACAGGATGCCACGGAGGTCCCTGGGGACTGTGCTAGGGTGGGGAGTTATATAAGTTGTGATAAGTTATAATATAAATATAAATGTGGGATGTGGCACAGTGGTGGCTGCTGCGCTGGGGGGTGGTCAAGGGACCCTGGGGGACCCCACCCAACACCCCACACCCACCTGTGTAGCGGATGTGGGTCCACAGCACCTTGTCACTCTGGGTCTGGAAGACAAAGCGGGTAAATCCTGGTTAAGGCAGGGCTGGCAGCCCCCGGCTGCTGCTTTTATTTCCCAGCCAGGACCGCAGGGCTGCAGCCTCGCAGCTGGGCTCCAGGTACAGCACGGCCACGGGTATTGCTGCAGCCTGGCTGCCAGCCCCAGGGCTGGTTTGCTTTCGAAAACCACGCTGGTGTGTGCATCGAGCCAGAGCAGGCAGCAAGGAAAACACAAAAAACATTTCTCTACATATCCTAAAATAGCTGAGTCCTCTAAAACCCACTACTTTTAACCTTCATCCACTAAAACAAAAACTTCCAGAACTTTAAAATAAATTAACACCTACAAATATGTAAAATAAATAATAATATAATTTATCAAAAATTTAAAACTTTAAAGATTTTAATATAAAAGCTAAATAAAAAAATTTAAACATTATCTAATCTCCTTCTTATTCTTCATCTACTCCATTTTCTACAGTATTAAAACCACAAAATAATTAATTAAAAAAACCACAATATAAATATTTTCTAAACAGTAAATCATTAATTATTATTAAAAATGTATAAAAATTAATTAAACAAAATAACTTTTTAAAGCCTTAAATATATATATATATCTTATAAATGTTAATGCCTTCTCTTTATACACTAAATATAAAATATAAACAACATATGAAACTTCTAATAAAAATAAATCATAATCTAAAAACAAGCAAAAAAAAAATTCCCATCCATCTCTCATTCCTAACACAAAACTTTTTAAAAACTGCCCCACCAAAAGCAATTTCATCAGGCCCTTGGGGTGCAGAGCCTTTCCTGCATGAGCCTGGCAGGGAGCAGCTGGCAGACAGGCAGGGCAGGGAGCCGGGCGTGCTGTCCCACCCTCCTGCAGGGCACCGGGAGGTGGCTCTGCCTTTATGGCTCCTTGCACTTGTGCACTTTGGGTCAGGCTCTCCCCAGAGGTGTGGGTCTCTCAGAGGCTCTTCAGTGCACTGGGATGGGTTTACAATGGACTGGAGCACCTCTGCTGTGAAGGCAGGCTGAGAGAGCTGGGGCTGTTCAGTGGGGAGAGGAGAAGGCTTTAGGGAGAACTTAAAGCACCTTTGAGTACCTAAAGGGGCTACAGGAGAGTTGGAAAGAGACCTGTGACAAGGGCTTGGAGTGATGAGAGAGGGGGAAATGGTTTTAAAATGACAGAGGGCAGGTTTAGGTTAGTTATTATGAAGAAATTCTTCCTAATTTTGGTGGTGAGGCACAGGCACCGGTTGCCCAGAGAAGCTGTGGGTGCTCCATCCCTGGAAGTGCTCAAGGCCATGTTGGAAGGGGCTTGGAGCAGCCTGTGACAGTGCAAGGTGTCCCTCTCTGCTTACGGCAAAGGGGTTGGAAAGAGATTTTCTTCACGGTCCCTTCCAGCCTAAATCATTCTGTGACTGTGATTTGTATTTATGAATGTAACAGAGAAAGTGAATGCAAATATAGAAGCGTGTATCTTACTGGCCAGATATGCAAAACACCAAGCTTCTGCGTTGGATTTTTAAATCTGAACTTGGCATCTCAAACTTGTCTCTCATCATAACCACAGCAGACCCAAATCTGCAGTCTCTACACAACCGCAGCCTTTTGCCTGATTAAAGAGTGAATCTTGGGCTCAGCGCTCCGTGCTCTTCTCGCTACCTGTGCCAAAGGCTCCCCGAGGGACAGGGAGAGCCCGTGAGGCGGGGACCGGGCTGAGGTGGGAGCTGGAGCTGGAAGAGATCTGCTCTGGCACCCTCTAGTGCTGCCGCGGCTGATGCTCGGCGCCCGCGGCGCTGAGACCCCGGCAAGCGCAAATTCAACCCCTGTGAGCAGGTGGAACTGGCACCACCTTGGCACCGCCGTCCCTGTCCATTGCCTCGGCTCGAATCTCAGGCTTGACCTTATTCCTGAGTGCACCAGCATTCCCCTCCTGGCTCACACAGCCGGGATTTCCAGGTAGTTTCTCAAAAGAGACAAGAGCAAAGCACTTAGCACACGTCTGGTGTGATCTGGCCACTGATGGGCAGGGTGCATTCAACCCTGACAGCCTGGGTCAGGCACTTCTCTCAACCCCACTGCCACTAATGCAAATTGCCTGTTTCATGATTCTCTTGCAGGCGTGCGATCTCAAAAGCACTGTGCAGGTAACTGTTGGAACTCAAAATGTCCCTCAGACATTTTTGGAGGTTCCAGGCCTTGGTCAGAAGCATTTTAGACCCTGGCAGGCAGCTGCAAACAGCTGTGATTTTGGGTTTGAGCCATGGAATGAGTTACCAACTTTGAAGGTGGAACAAGCAGTCACAAAGGTTTAGATAGGATAGTAGAAGTAGTTACAAAGTAGAAGGGGAAATTTTTTAGTATTGTACAGGGGGGGTTTAGCACCTGTACAGGGGGGGTTTTATTTTGTATATGGGGGTCAGAAGTTTTAATATGGAGGAAAGTGGGCTGATCCTGTTCTTCCTCCTTCTTCTTCCTTACCTCCATGTTCTTGGTGATGCTGGCACTTATGGATTGGTTTAGAGTAGAAAAGCACCTTGTAACATAGGTAGTAGGTATTGGGGGAAAACTGTAAACATGGAACACATAATGTACCCTATAAAAGACAGCAGCAGCCCTGGGCAGGGGGAGAGAAGAAGAAGACAGCAGTCAGAGAGGATGTCAGGGTGTGTGTGTGTCTCTGCCCGGGCCGCTGACCAAACAGCCGCAGCCCGAGAAGAAAATCTTTTAGATAACTCACAATAAACTGCCTTGAGACCAAACAAGAGGCTGCAGAGTCTTTCTTTGGAAGCTCGGGTTGGAGGAGAGACTTTTCCACCACACGGAGCCCCTGAACCCGGCGGGGGTTCCCACAGGCACCTGCTGGTGCATCCTGCTGAGCCTCTGTGTGCCCATGGTACTGGAAGGACTCTGGGAGCTCCCAGCCAAGTGAGTGACCTCTCCTTCTCTGCTCTGCCTCCACATGCCACGTGGGAAAGTGTGCCAGGAGGGCTGAGGACACGGAGGTGCTTCTTACTGCCAGCCTCAGGTTTCCCCATGCCATTTACACACAGACTCTTCCTTTCTGCCTGTTCTGGATCCCTGAACAGGGGACTTCCCCCCGGCTGGGACACTGACCATGGCCGTGCCACCTGGCACCAGTTTCAGGAATAAGTTTGGACCACAGAAAGCAAACCTCAGGGGGCTGATTGAGGGCACTGCCTGTGTCACACGTGGAGCTGTCCCACAGGTGGCAGGTGACCGTCCTCTGGAAGTGGGTTATACCTTCTCCTCACCAGAATCAGGGATTTTACATCTCCAGCAAGAGGAAAGGTGTGGCAAGAGAAGGCAATTCCAGCAGAGGTGGGAATTGCAGATGCAAAAGCAGACTATCACTGACCTTTCTTTTAACTTCCTCATTTGGAAATCTCAGCTGAGGTTTGTTCTCCAAGCGGTATCATGACAGAAATGAGATCATTGTCCCTTTTTGTTAGCACAATCTAGGCTGCAGATGCTCACTACTCAGGATGTGCCATGATATTATTTATGCTCTGTTTTCACAGAACAGTCCAGGAGGGATTTTTTTTAAGAGCAATGTTTCCACAAAGACAATGGAAAGGAATCAAATATGATCTCTCTGTGAAAAAACACAGTTATTCCCTTGCAAATAAAGTTAGCATGACACTCTGCACCTTGGAGAGCAGGAGGCTCTTCCCAAGGATAGGGAGAGCCACTCATTCACTCCCATGGGCCAGCACTCCCAAGGCTGCCACTCTCACGCTGCTGTTCCCCTACTTCCATAAATATCCCCAAACTGCCCCAAAAGTCAAGTCAGATCCGTGCTGCTGCCCCTCCAGGAGACATTTAAATGGCCAGTTCAGGGTTATCCAGCTGAGCCCTGTGATTGCACTGCAATGAAATCTCCCCGTGTACAGAGCAGGGCACTTCAAACAGGACACCAGGGTTATCTGTTAAAAGAATAGAAATAATAGTCCTAACCCTGTAGTTACCAAGTGTTTAAAACTGAAAAGGTCCTTTGGTGATTCTCAGGACCTGGACTTCTCATCTGTTGCCACTGCTGCCCCTCGAGCACTCTGTTTCAGTTATTTCTGTTGAGGAAGGGAGGCTCCAGACATGTACTGTGTCCCCCCACCTGCTGCTGCTCCCTTGGGTTTGTAAGGCTCCCAGGCTGGAATGCCAGGCCCTGCTATCTTCCTCCGCAGGAGGAGCATTTTTACAGAAGAACCAGATGCTGAGAGATGAGGCTGCACAGCCAGAGTGTGACCTGGAAGAGGTTTCTGCACCTTGAGCACTCTGATTTCTTGCACTCTGCTGTCTTACAGGGCAACTTCTCTCTCCCAGAGTAGGGGAAGGAGAAGAGGATTGACCTGACTGACAAGTGCTCTCTTTCAGTGTTGTCAGGATTGTTATCCTGCAGTTTAATAGCCACAGTGAGCCTCAAGTCAGTGAAAGCTGTGCAGAGCACCAAAGTTTCAGTAAGCAGCACAGGACCTGGAGCACGAGGCCACAGTCACATGCCTGGCTTGCTTCTGTGCCGAGCCTGGGTGGGAGGAAAGAATGAACTCGGGTAAAACGAAGCACAACAAGCTTTAAAGTGGTGCAAAGCTCCTGGAGAAGGAGTGGGAGGAGGAATCGCTGCTGCACAGCAGCTCTGAAGCAGCAGTGAAAGGTTGTTGACAATCCAGCAGCCTGCAAGCACACGAGAGAGGCAAACGTGTATTTGCTGCGGCTTGTGCTGGAACATTGTGAGCCCCAAAGCATTTTTGTTATTTGTCCTGTTTGCTGTGGTGTTGTGGGCACACAAAACCCTCTCTGGACACAGCAGCCTTCCTCAGGCAGGCACACAAGGAGATGACTTCCCCTAAGCCTGCTTTATGGGCAGGCTGAGAGCACCCAAAGGTGTCAGGAGGTCTTGCTAGAGCTGTCACAAGGGTGAATTGCTTTCTGTCACACATCTTTTGCCATTTAGTACACTCTGAAAGTTCAGGAGGTG